CTTCCAGTGATCAGGTTTGGATATACCGGCTGGGGAATTCTGGGAGTGGAAGTCCACGGACGTTCCCTCCCAACAACTGCGAGGCCTCCAGTCAGGAAAAGCTCCCGAGGCCCACCCCTGTCAAGGGACGCGTGTCCGGACCTCAGAAATTCGGGGATTCAACCGCTTCAGGACTCTCAGCCGCAACAACCCTCCCCGCCAAAACCCCTTCGGACCCCCGGCCTGCAAGCGCCTTCCCCGAGCTGGGGCCGGCTGGCTTCAGCCCAGGCACCCCCGTCCTGGCGTGGCCGGAGAGCCTCCTCCCCCGTCCCGGCTGACAGAAAAACCCCCACTCCACCCCGCTTTCCTTCCTCACACCCCCCCCCCCCCCCGGGGGCCCCCCCGTCCGGCTTACCCGGCAGCCCCAGGACGCGACCGCCGCCATCTTCGCCAAGGAAGCCTGGTGGGCAAGGAGCCCGGCGGCGCACGGTGATGATGTCGTAGCGCGACGGGCGGTAAGCTGGGGGCGTCACGCCCGCCGCGCAGGCGCAGAAAGGGCACGAGGAGGCAAACACGTGGTTTTCAGGGGGCTGCTGACCTGAAATGGTGGTTTTTTTTGGGGGGGGGGGAAACGGGACACTCGGTGCCCCCTCCCCCAACGGGACCCCCCTTTTCCTAGCTTAGCCTCCCGGTCCTGTGCGGGTGAGGGGCTTGGACCCCCCTGGACCCTCTCTTTTGGGGGGCTCCCCGAACAGGCCAGGGGCTTCAGCTGCGTTCCGCACAAAGGCCGAGGGTTCCCCCCCCCCCGCCCGGCTTCCGGCCAAGGCCCCGCCGCCCAGAGTCCCCCTTGGAGGGAAGATGAGGGAGAAAGGAGGGAAAGTGAAAAAGGGAGGAAGGAAAGAGATAGGGAGAGGGGAAAAAAGATGGAGGGAGGGAGGCAGAGAGGAATGAGGGGAAGATGAAGGGAGGCACAGGTAGTTCTCTTAATAGGGAAGGGAAGGGAAGGAAGGGAAAGAAAGAAAAAGAAAAGAAAGAGAAAAAGAAAGAAAAGGAAAGAAAGAGAAAGAAAGAAAAAGAAAAAGGAAGGAAAGAGAAAGAAAAAGAAAAAGAAAGAAAAAAGGAAGGAAAGAAAAGAAAGGAAGGAAAGAAAGAAAGAAAGAAAGAAAGAAAGAAAGAAAGAAAGAAAGAAAGAAAGAAAGAAAGAAAGAGCTAGCTAGCTAGCTAGCTAGCTTCTGGCTTTCCTAATTCTCACCCATCCTGGGAACGGAGCTACAGCTGCCCAAACAGCCCAGATGGATTGATTTCTGGTTCTGAGTCCAAGGGGTACCCCAAATACAGGTAGGGCTCCACTTACAACTGTATACTAAAAAAGTAACTTTTTTCAAAGCCGCCCCCCCCCCCCAAAGTGACCTATGCCCAGTTTCGACCGGCCCATTGCCGCATCCCCAGGGTCACGTGATCAAAAGTCAGAGGCTTGGCAAACTGACTTGTATTTACGACAGTCCGAAGCAATCCCGGGGGGTCACACGGCTCCCCTCTTGCCATCTTTCTGGCAAGGAAAAAAGTCCACGGGGAAAGCTGGGTTCGCTTCGCAAGGAATCTGGTTACTTAACTCCTCAACTGCAGTGATCCACTTAACAACAATGGGCAGGGTAGGTTGTAAAAAGGGGCCAAAAGCGGCTTTAACAGCTACCTCGCTTAGCGGCAGACATTCTGGGCTCAATTGCGGCCATTAAGTCGAGGACCTGTACTAGGGATAAGAGTTTGATAGCTCCAAGGGACCTTTCGGGAGGTGCCAGAGTCCCGTGCCTTAAAAAGTCAGGCAGGACTTTTTTTTAAAAAAAATTATACATTATGTTTCTTTTCTCTCTTTATGACCTGTAAGGAGGCATATCAATTTAATAAATAAGAAGTATAAAAGACCGGAGAAGAGAAAGAGTTAAGTCACAAAGAAACATCTTTAATGTCGACAGATTTCATACGGGTTTTCGTTGGGACTGTGGTTTCTATTCACACACGTTTTTCCAAACACTTCTGGTCTGACAAAGGTTGCAAACAAGCTATTTTCCAAAGGAGAAGAGGTAACACAATGATCAGGACTAGTTTTCCCCCCCCCCCAAAAAAGAGATTTTTCCACAAGATTCTTTCACCAGTCAGGAACTGGGCAAAGAGGTGAAAGTTCCTGGAGGAGCGGGGGGAGGGGGAATGGAATTACTTCTAGACACAATGTAAAATGGGTTGTTTTGTTTGGGTTTTCTTTTTCTTCAATTCAATAAGGTGGCATTGCGACAAAAAAAGAACCGGAATCCTGCATGTTTAAACGGTTTAAAAAACTACCTCAAAAAAAAAAAAAAAAAAAATAAAGAGAGGTAAAAGACAAGACAAAAAACATGAAAAGAAGAAAGGCGGGGGGAAAAAAAAGCTGTGCCCTATTTTAAAAAGGGAATTATTTAAAATGAACTTCCAGGGAGGCAGCAGAGCTACTATCTTTACCGGTCTCACATCCGGGCAGATTTTTTTTTAAAAAAAGAGGAAAAAAAAAACAAACGAACAAACCCCACCATAATAAACGAGAAAGAATTACAAATCTAGATTCCCACCCCACCCTACTTCCCACGTAGCATTTAAAAAAAAAAAAAAAAAGAAGGGACACGGGTGGGCTTTTTAAGCATTCCGGTCAATCCGGACATCGATTTCTCGGCCGCGGAGCTGAATGCCGTTCATCATCCGGCAGGCTCGCTCGGCCACCTCGGGAGACTCGAACCGGACCACGCCGCAGCCTTTGGACTTCCCGTTCTCCATTTTGATGTCGGCGTACAGCACGTGCCCTGCAAGGGAATCCGTCGGCCGTCGTTGGGTCTCTCGGCTGTGCTTGTTTTCCCACCCACCACCACCACACCCACCCACCCCCCGGTTTTTCTTTCAAGCACCCCAACTTGGCTCGCAAGCTTCGAAATCCTGGGCGCCCAACCCTGAGCTTGGCGGTTTTTTCTGGCAGACGTTTCGCGACCCAACGGTGTAACCTCATCGGTGCTGGAAGGGAGGGCGGTGTGTGGAGAGGAGGAGGAGGAGGGAGGAAGAGGAGGAAAAAAAGGAAGAAAAGAGAAAAGAGTGGTGTCGTGGTCCTTGGTGTTCTCTGAGCTTGGCGGTTTTTCTGGCAGACGTTTCGCGACCCAACGGTGTAACCTCATCGGTGCTAGAAGGGAGGGCGGTGTGTGGAGAGGAGGAGGAGGAGGAGGAGGAGGAGGAGGAGGAGGAGGGAGGAAGAGAAAAAGGAAGAAAAGAGAAAAGAGTCGTGTTGGGGTCCTTGGTGTGGCTGTTTTTCTGGCAGACGTTTCGCAACCCAATGGTGTAACCTCATCAGTGCTAGAAGGAGTGGGGTTTGCAGAGTGCAGGAGGAGAAAAAGGAGGAGGGGAAGAGGAGGGAGGACTGTGGGGTATCTTAGTGCTCTCTGAGCTGGGTGAGCTTTTCTTGCAGACGTTTCATTACCCAACTAGGCAACATCATCCATGCTAGAAGGGAGAGGGGCTTGCAGAAAGGGGGAGGAGGGGGGAGGAGGAAGAAGAGAAGGATGGGAGGAGGAAGGGGAAGACTGTGGGGTCCACCTTGGAGCTCTCTGAGCCTGGTTGTTTTTCTTGCAGACGTTTCATTACCCAACTAGGGAACATCATCTGTACTAGAAGGAAGGGCGTGGGTTGGAGGAGGAGGAGGAGGAGAAGGGCTGTGGGGTCCTTGGTGTTCTCTGAGCTTGGTGGTTTTCTTGCCGACATTTCAGGACCCATTTCATGACCCAAACTAGGCAACGTCCTCCGTGCGCGTCATTCCACAGAGCAGAAGAGAACAGGTAAGAAAGCAGCCCTCAGAAGCCAATAAAACAGGAGTCCCCAACCTCTGGGCCATGGACGTGTCGGGCGAGTGGGCACACCACCCACTTGCGCGAGCAGACGGCCAACACACGTGCTCGCGCACACCCAACTCCCCCGTCTGCAAGGCCAGAAAGGTTGGGGAACTCTGCATTCTGCTATAAAAGGGCCAGGCTATCCGTTGTGGCCTGCCAGCTGCCAGCAGAGCCGGCGGCAGAATTGGACGGTGAGGAGGTTGAGGGGAGGATCTTGGGCCAGTGCTGGAGGCAGAGAGAGAGCCAGGGCCGTCCGGCATCTCCCAGCCCCCAGAGAGGAACTGCCTTCCGAGATTGGCATGAGTGAGGAGGAGGAGGAGGAGGAGGAGGAAGAGCAGCTGGGGCCTATTCCAGACGCACGTATGTGCGGAGATGCGAGGAGAGGGGGAACGGCGGAGGTCGAGGAGTCGACTCGGGAAGCAAAGCACACGTGGACGCCGAACGGGCCCTTCCAGGCTGGGGAACAAATAGAAGGGGAGCGGTTGTCGGAAGAGACAAAGAGTTTGTCTCTCTGAAGATTTTGCTCATTGCGCTTCGCGGCAGAGACCGTTCGCCAGGACTTCATCTGCAATCTTTGGGTGGCCTTGCGTTCAGTTATTGCAAGGAACGGATAAAGGTCTGTTGCTGCCATTCATTCTTTGAAGGACTCTTGCCTGGACTTTTCGGTGGGTGAATGCCATTAATTCACAAGGGGTAAATGAAAAGGAGTTTTTCGTGACAAGGAGTCTCTTCCTTCCTCCTGGGCTAAAGCTGGGTCAGAACACTATCACCATCTGACCAACAGTCAAAAGCCAAACACTATTTCAAAAAAAAAAAAAAATTCCACTAGGACAACATAGTCCAATCATTAATATTAACCATCTTAAACATTTTACCCATTTCAGTTAAATACCATACCTTTATGGTATGAGAGATTTGGAGTAGGAGAAGGGGGAACAGCCTAATGAAATAATGATTTAAAATATGTGATGGGGGAATAATCTTGGAAAGTAGGTTATTTAATTGAAAAGTAATGTGCTAAGTGTTTAAGATATAAATGAACATTAATATTAATGAATAGATTTGTATTAGTATTGATAATATTGTATAATTTTAGAATGTACCAAACAGAATCCCAATGTAAGCTGTGTATTCTATATTAAGTATTATAAATGTAGGGGAAAGAGGTAAAGGCGTCATACTCCAATTCGTGTACAGGAGAAGTTTTCTTTAAAGAAGAAAGATAAATGGATAGTTGGAAGTAGAACAGACAAAGAATAATATTATGATTCGAATTGAGATGAGATAAACAAATAAAACAAAATTAAGAAAATTTAAAAGAGAGAAGCTATATAGAAAATTGAAAATGTTAATAAGATATGGAATGGTATATGAAATGAATATGAATTTGATTTTGTGTCTGTACGAAGATTTTTAACCCGGGACTAAGCAACCTTCAGAAAAGAGGTTTTTTTATGTTTTTATGTCTTGTGTCTTTGTACGTCTTTAAAAATTAATTTGTTTTTTTTTTTAAAAAAAAAAAAAGCCAAACACTAGCACTGGTGACATTACCTAGTTGGGTCACGAAACATCTGCAAGAAAACAGCCAAGCTCAGAGAGCAACGAAGAGACCTCATGTCAGCCCTGAGCTGCAAATATGCTCCTTTCTTAACCTGTATTTTGTTCATTCCGTTTGTTTGCCGCCCGCCTCGTTTTGAAAAGCGATTCTCGGGTGGCAAAGAAATGTCAGCGGCCGCTTTCAATGCAAAAGGCCACCAGGCTCGTCTTCCCTCCGCATATTCCGCTCCGGGCTGAACACGTCTCAGGCGGAATTGGGGAGAACGAAACAGCTTTCCTTCCACCGCTTTGCTCGCAGCACGTTGCGCGCAGAGTTGGGCTGCCTCAGGCCACGCGGTTCTCTGCGAGGAACAGCCGCTTGCTCTTCCTTCTTCCCTAACGCGCCCAACGTTTTCCCCGCCCCGCTTAGTGGCTTACCAGAGTCGGCGCGAGCGACTTACCGCATTCATTGAACTTGTCCTTCAGCATTTTCCACGTGAAGTCAAAAGGGAGCTGGAGGGAACAGAGACAAGGCGCCACCAAGTCATCCCCACTGTGGTTTCCCCCCTCAAGCCAGGTGGGAAGCAAGCCTCAAGCTGGGCCGCGAATCCCACCGGGAGCCCCCCCCCCCCCAGCCCCCTCCTCCTCCTCCCTTGGGTCAGGGGTCTGCTGCTGTCCCCGAAGTCCGCTTGAAGGCGTAACATGGTGGAAGAAAATGGGGATCCCAGAAAGAGGGCAATTTCTCACTGGATCTCCTCCACCCCCAGACCCACGAGCTCAACTCACGTTTCTCACAAAAATCTGGCAAGCCTTCCTGGCCACTCCGGCGGCGGCAGCCACGGGCCCTCCAGTTCCCAGGGCGCTGGTGAAGTTTCCGGCGGCGAAGTTCCCACGCTCCATGTCCATGGTCCTCTCGAAGGTGCTCCCCAAGGGCAGCCCTATCCTGTCTAGGCCTGCCCCCATGCCCTGGCTCAAGGCCGGCCCCATGCGGTCCATGCTGTTGGCCGCTGCCCCCATGCGGTCCAGCCCCATGCGGTCCAGGGGGGCCGCCAGCCGGTCCAGCCCCATGCGGTCCATGGGGGCTGCTCCGAGGCGGTCCAGCCCGGCCGGCATCCTATCCATCACGGGGCCCATCCCCGCCGGGACCATGCGGTCCAAGCCCAGGCCCATGCGGTCGACCCCGCTGCCCATCCTGTCCATGGCGCTGCCCACGCGGTCGAGGGTGGAGCCCATGCGGTCCAGGCCGAAGCCCAGGCCGGCCCCCATCCGGTCCATCCCGGGGCCCATGCGGTCGATGCTGGAGGCCAGGTGGTCTAAGCCCAGGGGGGCCATGCGGTCGATGCCCGAGCCCATCCTATCTACTCCGGAGCCCATGCGGTCCAGCACTAGCCCCATGCGGTCCATCTCGGAGCCCACGCGCTCGATCCCGTGGCCCAGGCCACTGGGGAGCCTGTCAATGCTGCTGGCCATGCGGTCCAGTCCTGGGGCCATCCGGTCAATGGCCGGGATCGTGGCGCCACCGCCGCCACCCCCTGGGGGGGAAAAAGAGGAGGACGCTCTCAGTCCCGTTACAGGAAAAAGCCCCTCCCTCACCCTCGAATCCCCAGGAAACCCCCACCCCACCCTCCACCCACCCATCCCCCCTTGTCTCTCCCCCCTCCCCCTGCCTGGGGGGGGGGGGCGGGGGTGCCCCCCCCCCCCCCCCGGCAGAAAGGCCCCGGCTGTCAAAACAAGGCCTCTCCCACCACCGAGCAGGGCCTTCCTGCCCCCATTTTTATAGGTAGCCCTCGGCTTACGACCACAGTGGAACACACACACACACACACACACACCAAAATGGTCGCTAAGTGAGACCCTGCTCAATTTGATCCCATTTTACCACCTTTCTCCCTTGCCAAAGCAATCCCCCGCCGTCGTTAAGTGAATCTGGCTGTCAGAAAGTGGAAAAAGGGGACGATCGCCTGACACAAACACACACACACACACACACACACACACACACACACACACGGTGGGGTGCTGCAACCGTCGTAAATGTGAGTCGGTGGCCAAGCAGCTGTTTTGATGACGTGACCCCAGGAGATGCTGCATCGGTCATTAAGTATGAAAAACGGTCATAAGTTGCTTTTTAAAAAAAAAAAAAAAAAAGTGTGTTAACTTCAGTCATTGAATGAATTGTGAAGTCCAGGACAACCAGTGCAGCTCGTTGAGTGGCCGTACCAAGTTATGACGACACTGGAGAAAAGTGACTTCTGGCCATTTTTCATACCTACGACAGTTGCATCTTCAGGCCGCGGACTCGCATTGACGACAGTCGCAGTGCCCTGGCTGGGGGTGTGTGTGTGTATTTGTCACACGATTCCCTTTCGGCTCCCTTCTAACCAACACAGTCCAAGAGGGAAGCCGGATTCACGTAATAACAGTGTTCCTCAGTTAACACCTGCAGTGATTCACTTAACAACTGTGGCAAGGAAGCCGTAATACGGGGCAAAGCTCATTTAACAAAGGCTCCCTTCCCTCCTCTCTCCTTCCTTCCTCCCTCCGCTCCTTCTGAGAAGCCTGCCATTCCTCCTCCCGCAAGAAGCCCCAGGGAAACCCCAGCTAAGCATGTGAGGCTCAGCTCTGAGCCTTCCGGCACTCGCCATCCCCCCCTTCCCTCTACACTCCTGGGGGGGGGGGTGTCAAGTGTCCGGGTGACGTACCTATGCCTCTCTCCAGAGTGTCTCCAAAACTACGGGGCATCCCCATTTCATTTCTCGGGAAGTCTCTTTCGAATCCCCCTCCGATGGCACGGTCCATTTCTGCAAGACAGACAGGAAATCAAAGCCTCCGGCTCGGGGGAAGTCGGGGAGAAAACACACGAGCCAAAGGCCCAAAGCCAGCATCCTCCCTGGGTGGGTTTGAGGTACCACCTGGGTGCGGCTGGGTCCCTTCAGCCGGCCTCTCCCCGCCACCCCCAATTCACAGGAAGGCATTTCCCCCCCCCCCCCCCAGCAAACATTCAAACCCAGCCTGTCTAGATCCCATACAAAGGAACATCCCGCCTTGGCTCTTTTGCGCTTACAAAACAAAAGGAATCCTTTCGGGCGAAGAGCAATGGAACGGTCCTTGAGTAAGGACCGTCGTCCTACCCATCCCGGTTAGGAACTTGGGACAGGTGTAAATGACCTCGTTTTGCAGCGGTTGTTAAAGGGAACACGTCCCTCTTCCATTTGCCTTCAGGAGCTACCAGCCAGGAATTACACAGCCTTAAAAGACTACTGCCACAGGGGTGCCTCACACTGGGGGGGAGGGGGGGTGCATGCGCACAGGTGCGAAAGGAAGACAGCCACTGACCACTTCAGGCTGCTAGCTTCTTACCACTCATCCGGCCAAGGTTCATTCCGGAAGGAAAACGGCCCAGGCTCTCCATTCCGCTGAAAGGACCTTCCATCCCTGCAACGGAAGCATCGCCGTTCAGCTCCCGTTTCGGGAGAGACCGCAAATTGGCAGCACGCGTGGTGAAATCGGGAGGTTTGATCACGCCCTATTTCTTGCACTTGTTAATAATAATTATAATAATACGTGCAGCGGCTCGCCTGGCCTTCTCAGCCAGACCAAGAAATCCTCCGAGGGCCTCTGAAGGAGGCCGGAGAGGAACTGAGGGCAACCGGCTTCCTGGACCAAGCCAGACTGGCAGGAAGGTGCTGAGATCCTGATGGGGCTGACCCTCCTCCCTAGGGGTGCGAATGGTCAAGCGATGGCCCCGTGCCCGAACACTGAACGCTCATGGCTCATTTATGGGGTGCAATGCAAGAGGCTGGCTTTAGAGCGTGGTGCAGTGACCTAGAGGTGGAGCTCTCGCCTCACCATCAGGAGGCTGCGAGTTCGATCCTAGGGGAGAGGCAGATATCTTTTCTCTCTCTCTGGGCTGGGCAAAACTCCGCCCTGGCAACAGGTTGGGCATCCGGCCAGTAAAACGCTCCGCTAGCTCCAATTCCGTTGCCCAGACTCCTCCACCCCAACGCAAAGGATTATGGGGTCGTTAAAAGAAGAAGAAAAAGAAGAAGAATGCAAGAGTCTGGCTTTCCGATGTAGTTGGTCAGTTACTACGGGAAGATTCTGGATGATCTTAGATCATTGTCGAAGTCTCCACGGCCAGACTTCCAACAGCTGCGGGACTTACCTCCCATTTTATTCATTCCGAAGCCCAAGCCTTCGATCCCCATCCCTAAAAATTAAGAAAAAAAAAAAAGGTGTTTGTGTGGATGCGCCTAAGAGCAGAAGACATTAAAAGAAGCGACCCTAGAACAACGGTTAGAAGGCAGCACTGCAGGTGAATTCTGCTGCCTGCTCATGATTGCTTTTTTTTTTTCCAGGTATTTTTCCCCCCCTTTTCTTCTACACTATCACGGACATTTTAAAATAAGCATTTATTTAAAGTATTGCAAACTCACTCACTATTCACTGCCAGCAGTTCGATTCTGACCAGCTCAAGGTTGACTCGGCTTTCTATCTTTCTGAGGTCAGTAAAAGGAGGATCCAGACTGTTGGGGGCCAATATGCTGACTCTGTAAACCACTTTGGGGTGGGCTTGTAAACTACGAAGGTAGTTCATTCAGTGACTGTTATAGCAGTTCACTTAGTGACCGTTTGAAGTTACAACGGCACTGGAAAAAGCGACGCCGCCAACCATCTTTCAGACTTATGACCGTTGCAGCATCCCCGGGATTACGTGCTTTACCTTCGCATGCAACCGACTCACATTTATGATGGTTGCAATGGCTGGGGGAGGGGGGGGCGGTCAAGGTGACCCCTTTTGCAACCTTCTCGACAAGCAAAGTCAGTGGGGGGGAATCAGATTCACTTCACAAACGTGTTCCCTTAATTTTAACACCTGCGGTGATTCACTTAACAAACGAGGCAAGGAAAGTCCGTCAAATGGGACAAAAACTCCCTTAACACTTTTTCACCCAGCACCAAAAAACCATTTTTTGGTGGGTCCTTTGTGGGTCGCCCAGGTCTACCTGTATGGATCGAAGCGTATATTGCTCCTTCTGATTTGGAGCCTGTCTGTGGGGAGGCCGGGGCTGCCCCAAAAGGAAAGCTTTCCAGCCCCGGGGGGGGCCCCGGGAGACTCCCGAACAGGTCAGGAAGGCCAAAGAGGAGAGCAGAAGAAAATTGATGTTGGGACGAACAATTGAGGAAGGAAAAAAACGAATACATGGTAGCAGGATTCCAGTATTTGAGGGGCTGCCCCAAAGAAAAGGGGCCCCAGAGCACCTGAAAGCAGGACAAGAAGCAATGGTTTGAAACTAATCCGAGAGAGAAGCAACCTGGAATGAAGGAGAAATTTTCTAACAGGGAGGACCATTAATCAGAGGAACAGCTCTATTCTGATTCTGACCCCCAAAGCAAGCAGATGACTCACCTCCAGGGCCGAGGTTGCCCATGGCCAGGCCTTTGTTCAGGTGATTGGCATCGATCGGTATTCCTCCCGGCCCCAGTCCCATGCCGATTCCCCCAAGGCCATCTGCAACAATGACGGACAGTGGAGACAATCAATGCTTGTTCCTCATTTAGGTTATAAACAGCTAAAGGTCTGTAGAGATCATCAGCCATCCAGGCCACGGTTGTCCCCAAAGGTGGCTTTTTTCAGGAGGCAACTGACCTGGATGGCTGAGAATCTCTACCGGCTTTTAAGCTACACAATTTGGGATGAACACCCTTGGAATGGGGTGGGAGTAGGAATGGATTCCCAGAAGAAAAAATTGCAGGCTACAGGAATCGGGAGCGCTGCACGGGTGACCCTGAGGACACAAATACACTTTCAAGTGGCCTCAATGACCCTCTAAACAGGGCTGTCCAACCGTGGCAACTTTAAGACTTGTGGACTTCAACTCCCAGAATTCCTCAGCCAGCAAAGC